TCATATTATAAGGTAAGGTTATAAAACCACCTTTTAAGATTATTTTAGTGAAAGTTTCATGTTCCTATCTCATAGAATTTAAGAAGAATGATGAATAAATAATTTTCGAGCAAAATTTAAATGGCCGGCTGAATATATTACCGCAGAAGAGACGGCCGCGGAATTTAAATCACAGCGCGAAAGGGTTAAATAAAGGAAATACAGCACTATCACTGATTTACACACACTTCATAATTCACTGTTACACATACAATAGTCCTCTCCTGGTAATGCAATTAAAATACGGGAACTAGCGCTTCAAATTACTCCAAATATTACACATAAATAAAGCCTTCAAATCACACTTTAAATTCTCACAGGCTGACCTCTTGCATTCTTCTGTGCTCCTGGTTCCAATTTGCTCTGCCAGCTTATAACTGAATTGACTGGCGCTACTGCATTCACTTCTCTTATAAGCAGTCTGCACTAGTCTCTCAAATGCCTCGAGCCCTCATTGACTCTCCACACTTTATCACTGTCACTTAAAAACTGAAATCTGTTCAGTGTCAGAGTCAAGAGTTACTTTATGACTGGTGGTTTACTGCCAATCAGTTCCTCTTGGCATCAGGCCCCTTGAGGCCCACAACCAGAGATATTTTCCCAACTGAACTCTTGCAGTAGTAGTCCTTATGTAACATCTTCTCTCACGAGAAGATGGGTTTGTCTCTTACGAATATGCTTGTCCTTTGGTCGTGGCTTCAGGGGCCCCCAACCTCAAAAATGGGAAGCAGAAATGCCAACCTCATTAAGTGAATACTGGATGATTCAGGTTCTGTATTGCTTTCTGCAACTGTTAAAAGCAGTGCTAGAATACAGATTTACATGATTAATGTGGATTTGATTAAGCCTTTAAAGCAGGGGGTCATTTACATCCCTGCCTCAGTTTTAATGTGGGGCAGTATTTAAATTTTACTCAAGCAAGGACAAAAATTATTTACATTTGCACTTGAAATAGCTTCCACAATTCTCATCCAATTCAAATAAAATTTAGAATATTGGTCTTCTACTGTCTCTAGAATATAAAATATGCATTTTACATTACTCCAGAAATCTATCATGTGCTGTATGCCTTGAAACACAGCACAACTCCAGTCCTAGCAACTGTACATCAAGACCTATTTCTCATCATGCGTGCTGCACACCACACACCATCTTGCAGGTTTTCACTGCCTTTCTGTACAAACTGCATATTATTCCTGGAAATGCACACAGATCAAACTCAGAACTCTCGGAATGACGGCCCAGGATCTAACCCAAACCACCATGTCCCCCTACACTGTAGTACCATACTATTAAACAGAACCATTTTTGACAGTTTAACTCTCAACGAAATTAAAAGTACCCACAACACTAAACGAGTGGAAATCAATAAACTGGAAACCAAGAGAGAAGTTGAGTGCACTAAAGGAGACGGATGCACCAAACTGAATGCTGCCAGAATACTGTTACATAATTTCAACGGAACGAAAAAGGCAGAAGGCTCTCAGATCATGCACACAGAAGGGAGAAATATGAAAATGCTTTTACAACATAAGGTCAGACATAGAAAGATTAACACTTGACAAGTCTGCTACATTAACAAATGTACCCACCTGCTGGCAAGGACCAGGATATGGTGGTGGGGGTCCAGGATATGGGGGTGGGGGTGGAGGAGCCAGACCCATCCTACTGACTCCAACCCCTGCATGCTGTATGACTGGACCTCCCGGAACTACAGACACCACTCTTGCAGGGACCTCTCGAACACCAGCTGGAACCATCCGCATTTGGACACGCTGCTGCTGAACTGAAACATGAACAACTAAACATAAAGATACAAGAAAAGAATGGCATTACTAATAGCTCCTGTTCATTATGGATCAATCTGTCACTTAGGTGAGTCTCAACTGTTAACTGACCTTGCAGGTGCCCTGGAGGCAAGCGATGGAGATGTGGCGTCCCAGTCTGGACAACAGCTGGACTTGAAACAGCTGGAGGGAATGTGTTCTGGAAGCTCACTGTAACTCCACCGTCTGGAGAAACGATTTTTCCAGACACAGGCCTACCAACTGTAGACTGTGAAATAGAAACCCAGTGTCATTAAGCACTAAGCTGGAAAAAAGGACTGTTTACTTCAATCCCGACAGGAAGGCACGAGTAACTGCCAGTGACACAGTTGCTACCTACTGGTTATTCGTGCAATGTTTAATGAAAGTCACACATGGTCACATAAATGTGCCACGACCTGTCAGGAGTGCTCAGCAGAAACATGAGGTATCTTTCACCTTCTGTGTCAGTCAAAGCTGCAAACAGAGAGATTATCACTTGCAATAACACAAACAAAATGTGTCATCAATATATTATGTCCTCACAGTTTCCAAAAGTGGTTCGATGTGCAGATGAAAACTGGAACAGAGCAATAGGAAGAACATCCACCGTTGAGGGAAACTTACAGGAGGCTGCAGATACTGTAACCTGTCCCATGAAAACGTGTGTACAGGTGAGCATTCTGAGGCTTCAAAATGAAAAACTCTCAAACACCAGAACAGGCTTTACATGGAGTACAAAGCAACAAATGTAATGTTTGTTCAGGTCATGGTTCTGGCAGAGTTACCACCATGCCGGATAAATCTGCTTTCTCCAGCTTCGTGGTAGAATATGATTCTGCATGTCAGTGTCTGGGTTAGGAACCTCTGCGGCCATCTCTCCTCCTCCAGCCACATATGCAAATGTGAACTCATGATTTACTGCAACAGGCTACAATGGTCAGAACTTCTGAGGGTGATCTACCTTCCACGCTTACTCCCCACATCAACTACACACATGCTGTTGGCAGTACATCTAAAATCCCATAACCTTCGAGTCTTGGAGCCACAGAAATATCAGTCAGCCATTTATTAGGCAACAAAAACACAAATCCTCACCAGCCACAACAGTTGAAGTGCTGCTGAAAACAACACTGCCTAAGTGGTCCAGTACGAGGCTATATAAAGAAGTACGCCAGGTGCATTACTCTTCCGTCCTGGTTCTGGTTTGTGTCCAATCCTGCTTAGCCAGTTACCTTGGTGGGGGAGCAAGAGAAAGACACCAGAGAGCTGAACCACCCCAACAGTAAACCCCTGCAAATGCCTGAACTAGTGACGAATAAATTTATATCCTATCAGAACTAGCACCACAGTCACATGGCAACATTAACAAACTTTCATTCATTTTGACCTTCCTTCAGACAACCAAACACCTTATTAAACAAAATACTGCATGCCCTTACATCCCAATCACGAGATTACTACAGGGATGTGATGCCCAGCTGACCACAGACGGTCATGGCACAGGGGTCAGAACAGCTGACTGCATTACAGCGATCTGCTTCAGGCGCAGAACTGGCAAGGCCCTGGATGAGGGCACGAAAAGGTTATGACCGGGCCCTGAGAACGATCCTCCTATGGCGAATGTTTATAAACACACTCAAACAGAAAAGTCTACTGGAGATCTGCAGAACAGTGGGAAGACCTCCAAACTATCTGCCACTTGGAGTGTGCACGCCATCACAGCAGTGTGCAACAGAGCTGCCACAAGTTAATTTAGTTTGGAAGCACCGTGAATCAGACGCTCAATTATATGAAGTGTGCGGTAATATGGTACATCACAATCAGACAGACACAAATAGGAGCTGTGGCTTATGTGAGGTACAACTGCTTTCAACATTTTTTTTGGCATAGCATGGTTTCAAATCCCTGCAGACAACGGAAAAGGGAATTTTAAGGCTTAAATTGTGATTGGTTAAAACCTCTGAACACTTGGCAAGAGCAAAGCAATGAACTTCTGCGATGGAATGACCCAACCCTCACAAATGTCTTGAAGAGAATGGGACCCAGAGGTTAACACGGTCTCAGGCGCACAGTCTCTACGTCCACAAAATGTTTACTTCATCAGGGATGAGACATTCTGTATCCACAGGTCTCCAGTCTGAGTCCAGTACCTCCTCATTACATAAAAAAATATTCCGAAGTGGAAAACACTTCAAACGTAACTGTGTGCAGGTTCCTACATCCCCAAATTCTGTAATGCATGCTCATCTTCCAGCAAAAATCCATATATAAAACAAGACAACCTGTTGGGGCAGAGATGACACAGGCGTCTGGGTCTGAGGCTGCTGTACATCTTGTGGCTGTGGTGTTGTGGCAGGCTGTGATGTCACAGGGGATGCAGCCACAGCAGTATCGGCACCAACAGTGGTGGGTGGTGCAGGTACAGCACCACTGCGTGTATCATCCTTCATATCTGTCGCAGCAGACGAAATTCTGCCAGCTTCAATGGATTCATCTGGCTTATTAGGTCTGCTGCTTCCACTGCTGCTACAGAAATAAGAAAACAGTCTAAGCCCAATGCTTCACACTGCTTCGGTAGCATAAACATAAAAGAATAACTGCAATGACTATGCCTAACTGCAGGGTGTTTTGGAGGCAAGGAAAGTGATACCACCGACCCTTCCTTCCTTCTGTGCTCCACACAATGATGACTCCTGTACTACCTATTTTAAACACACTAAACTGGCAAGGAGCACATACAGGTGTAAACAAATAAGCTATTATGAAGGTCCATGTCTTATTCACATACATCTTCAGTGCCTTACACAGAAATATAGAACAGCAGAACACAACATATGCTGATTGGAATGACTGAAACCAATGTACATGGAATGGTTAGTACTGTAGCCAGCTCAAACCTTTGCCATTCCAAGACAGGGCCATACACCCTAACATCTCAAAACGCAGGAAAACAGTTATGTCCCAGAAGGAATATTACCTAGCTTATGACTAGTAACTACAGCTAATAGCTAATATTTAGTCTTATACCTCAACAAGGAGACCTGTGCAAACACAGATTCCTTACTACAATAAATTTTGCATAATGGAAGTGCTGTAGATGGGTTCTGCTCCAAAACAGCACCCTCTATCTCAACTCATCGACCCTCCCTGTCGCTGTACTATTCACCTAGTGTCTCAAAAATCATGGAATAAGTTTTAAAATTAAAGATTCTGGAGGTTATCCGTTAGCTCTAAATAACCTGGCAAGTTTAGAACCGACCTGGAATGACAGTACCAGGATCGGACATTTCAACGAACAGGTACAGTCCCTATCACATAATTGAAAGGCAGAAATGTGTTACTTCAGATCTGAGTAATAGAATTTAAATTTCAAATTGAACTGAAAAGACCATCATACAACATCTGATACAGGGGAACAATGGTCATACCATACGATTTTCAAAGGCCTCCTACCTGTCCTTATCTGGGAGCTCCTTTTTTACTCCTTTGTGATCTTCCTTGCTGCTATCCTCTTCTTCCAAGTCCAAGTTCTCATCCAATATGTTTGTCTTCTCCCCACCAGTGACCGTGTCGAGTTCTGGGTCCGCATACTCCAAGATATTGAAGTCATTGCCCATCTCTGTAATGCAGACATCACATGTCACTTCTTCCATATATTAAAATGCTGAAATGCACACATCAGGAGCTCTCTGTATAATATCAACGTAATGCCAATTGAAAATTAAATGGAAAATCTCTTCTAAACTTTTGTACCCCTATTGTATGCCATCTGTTCACCTACATTCCTTTCCCTTGTCAGTTCTATCATCAAAGTGCTCTTCTGTTTTGACGACCATGACCCTCAAAACAGGTCATTGTAACAGAACACATTACTTGAACGTCTTCCTTCAGGTCTGTGTCATCTGTGAATACAAGTAAATGAACACATATGCACTAGCTTCTATGATTACAGAAGATGCTGAAGTATACACTTGCTTTTTCAGATGGCATCTGTGAGAGTGTGAATACCTACAACCACTGCAGGCACAACAAAACAAATGTACATCAGACAGGTTCTTATTATATGCAGAATCTGGGCAGTAAAATCTGTAATTTTTGTCTTGCGTTCAGAGCACGACTTCCTTCGTTTCTTCTCGCCTGATCTGCTGCAGCCTGCTGTAAACAGGAAAACGGTTTGTCTGGAGGGATCACTAACTGCATGGAAACTTAGTCAGGTCTCGGTATCCAGTTCTCTCAAAAGTTCACATTTAATGCTACCCCCTCCACCACCAACAAAAAGAGATTGAAAATAATTCTGGACACCTAGCAAAAGAGGGACCACAGAAACACCATCACAATAATAATTAAATAACATATTGAATCGCTATTTCTGCTCTGCTCTGCAGACACTTCTTACCTGTACATTCTTGTATTATGTGACACTAACATATGGCTACACAGCAATTTAAAAAATATAAACATTATATCTAAATATATCCCCCCCCCTGCCCAAATACAGTACTTAAATTTTTAGACATTCTGAGGTTGTACCACTGTTTCATTATTAGTCAATTAGAACAGCAAAATTTCATCACTTCACACCCAAGTCCCCATTATACTATAAGTAGTTACCTCTACTTATTCTTTCAGATACAAGAAACAATAACATGAACACTACAATCAGGAATGTGGTGTTCTGCGGTCTAATAGATATTTACCAATGTTTCAGGGGACCTGTTGTCACCAACTTAAGAACAGAAGATCCTGAAAATGGAGGTTGCATTATCCTCTGAAAAAGTGGCAAACATGTACCAGACCACACAGCATCACATCCCAAAAGGCAATAATCTTCATAGTTGCTACCAAAATAAACTCTAAATCTTACAAGAGACAATCACATATTTGGATTCCCTGAACTGTATATCAAAGCCACAAGTCTCCTTACCAAGCAGCTCTTTGTCGTCCCCAAGTTCTGCTAAAATGGCACCCACACCTTCTACTTCAACCATGGCTCCACCCTCCTGCTCCAGCTTTTCTAGTTCAGCTGTGACGCTCTCAGGAATCTCCTGTGCATCGGCAGCTGAAGCAGCTACTGCTGCCACAGCAGCAGGGCAGGATACGGGTGATGGAACAGTCATTTGGCCTGGGCCTGCTGCTGTCTGGCTCACTGCAACACCATAAGATCAGGCTTCAATGCACAATGCTCCAACTTATATATGTATGCTGAAGTCTCCATTCACTTGCTTTCAGTTTAAGGTATTCCTCCATTTGACACTGAACTTCCGATATTCCTGCCCCACTGGCCTCATTGCTACATTTCCTCAGTTTAACATTTTCTTCAATTTATTGTTCAAAGGAACTGGTCCACAGTACAAATATTAATCTGACAATTTGCTCTAGTAATGGTACAATCAAAACAAATGCAGACTGAATGGGTAAAGACTAAGATACTGTACTTACAATTATGTAAAACTAATTCATTCAAAAGCAAGCTCCCATCTTTCCTTACTACCTCCTCACTGAATTTTTCAAATTCCATCTTCCATTATGACCTCCTCACTGAATTTTCCAAATTCCATCTTTCCTTACTACTTCCTCACTGAATTTTCCAAATTCCATCTTTCCTTACTACCTCCTCACTGAATTTTCCAAATTCCATCTTTCCTTACTACCTCCTCACTGAATTTTCCAAATTCCATCTTTCCTCACTACCTCCTCACTGAATTTTCCAAATTCCATCTTTCCTCACTAACTCCTCACTGAATTTTCCAAATTCCATCTTTCCTCACTCGTAACTCCTCACTGAATTTTCCAAATTCCATCTTTCCTTACTACCTCCTCATTGCATTTTTCAAATTCCATCTTTCCTTACTACCTCCTCACTGAATTTTTCAAATTCCATCTTTCCTTACTACCTTCTCACTGAATTTTCCAAATTCCATCATTCCTTACTACCTCCTCACTGAATTTTACAAATTATCAGATCCATTGCCATTCCAGGCTTTTTTATATTTATGGAACATAAAATGAAACCATACCAGTTCAGTGCAGTGGTCATCTGTCTCACCTGAGTTATACTGCATTTCACTAAAAAGTGCCCTGCAAGCTGTGCTTGTGTCGTGGTGAATATTCCCCTCATGAGGCTCACAATAACCCCAGAATTTGTAAATAGAAATGTCTATTAATAGCTCAACCTTGTGGGCCATACTCTGATGCAGAACACCTCATAATCAGAGAACACCATCAGCATTACTCTGATGTTGCTGTGCACCTGGTATGCTCTTGTGGTCTAGGTGAAGAAAGGAATTTTGACTATGTTAAATGCTGCTCACTGCTGTGGTCATATCCACAATCCACATTTCATCACCTGTGATATTCTTATGTATTTACAGCTCTGCATATTCAAGTAATCAAAAGCCAGCTTCTGTGTCAACTGCGATGGTACTGACTTGGGTCAGACTTGCCTTATTGCCAGATCTTTAATTAACATCACCTGACAGGAGCCCCAAGAAATTTCAACACCTTTAGCCATTTCCCAGATGGTCTGCATCTTATGCTATGAATCAATTTCTAGTGGCTGAAGAATGTCTGTGATGCTTGTCATTTTCACAAGCAATTTAAAACAATGGAACCACTCAAACACTGCCACATCTCCTCAGGTTATGTGCATCAACTATGTTCCTATAAAACAGCAATCACACTTACATGCAGCTCGGTCCAGAGAATGCCCTGGCTGGGAAGTAACCCTGGTTAGCCTCATCTGAACTCCCAGCTGACTCGCATGCCCCCCTTCTACTGTAGTGGCCTGCCTCACCAGACGCTGAGTGGTCAGAACCGTTGCATTTGGTGTTAGCACTCCTTGAGTTGCCGAACTGTCTGTGGAGAAACACAGTTCCTTTGTAAGCCACTGGTTCCTCGGTAGATCTGCACACGCCCGGCAACAGCTCAGCTGGTCCAGTGTCTTGACTGGCATAATGCAATGCAACTTACCTTGTGCAAAACCCAGCTGTTGTCGCTGCTGAACCAAATGGTCATAGGGATCAAGAGGATTGCGCGGACCAGCCAACCTATGTACAATGTGCGCAGGATATCCCTGTACACTGCCTATGGCCCCTCGCTGCTGCTGTATCAACAACCTTGTGCGAGGGTCCATACCCTGAAATACATCATATTTTCATCATCAAAAGAGGAAAGAAATAAGCACCGAATCATGAGGAGCAAAGACGAACAGTAACATTTCACTAATGAGGGGAAAACTATGTGTGAGCTCTCGCTAAGGCAAGCCTCTTTATTCATTTTGCATTGTCCATTTTCCCAACTGAATTACAATGCTCAACAAATCTGAACTTCTCTTATGTTTCCTTGGTAAGTCTGGGAACTTCTTAAACACTTCTGATTGTAAGGAATAAAAATTAAACAAAAATCGTTCTAAGCAGCATTTGTGGATCTCAGAGCAGTGGTTATGAAGAGTATTAGCTTCCAGGATATAGGGCCATGTAGTCTGTTGAAAGTAAACGGACGTTTTGGGGGAACATATCACCTCCATCTTCAGTGTCAAATAAGCCAAGCAACACACCAGCTTGAAAACAGGTGGTATCAACCTTGAAGCTGGAGGCAATATATTGCTCCGAAACACTGGCTGACTTTCAATGGACTACACAGCATTATATCCCAGAAGACATCACATTTAAAACTGAGAATAAACTGTAATAAATTTTACCTCTTGGCCTCTTCTTTATAAAAATAAATACAGATCAACAAAGTTTTCAGTAACAGAAAACGAAGCAAAAATAAAAGAGGGCATATTTATTGCTCAAAAGGTTGATTGGAGATAATGCCTTTCACAATGTGGCGCACGGACCAACTGCTAAACAGTGACTGTGTGAACAATGACCATTTGTGGGCAAGAGCTCGGTAATCACATTCCCATGACAACAAATATGCACGCAACAATAGAGTTACTGCTGGAAACAAAGTATTTCTATGTGGTCTGTGCCAAGATGTTATAAGCAAGAGCAGTCAGTTGAGGCCACGCCATAGCTCAAACGGTTAGCCACTGGCTTCCCACCGTGGCGGCCCGGGTTCGATCCCGGGTATGGTCAAGTGGGATTTGTGGTGGACAGAGTGGCACTGGGGCAGGTTTACTCTGAGTACTTTGGTTTCCCCTGCCAATCTTCATTCAGCCAACTGCTCCACAATCACCCTCACCTATCATCTGGGGCTGGTACAATAGGCCAGAAGTGGCCACAGCACAAGGGACTTAGTCCCACCCCACTTACTTACTTACTCGTGGAGCTGAGCCCTTCTGGAGGAGCCGCCAATTCTGCAGCTACTCAAGAATTTCCTAGTATTTTATGGAACCCGAAGGTTCATCACCGTGTTCACAAGAGCCCTCCACTGGTCCCTATCCTGAGCCAGATCTAACCAGTCCATACCATCCCATCCTATCTCTCTAAGATCCATTCTAATATTGTCCACCCACCTATGCCGTTGTCTTCCCTGTGGTCTCTTTCCTTCTGGCTTTCCCACCAATATCCTATACGCATTCGTCTCCCCCATTCGTGCTACATGACCTGCCCACCTCATCCTCCTTGACTTGATCAATCTAATTATACTTGGAGAAGAGTACAAGTTATGAAGCTCCTCATTATGCAGTTTTCTCGAACTTCCTGTGATTTCATCTCTCTTTGGTCCAAATATTCTCCTCAACACCCTGTTCTCAAACACCCTCAGTCTATGTTCCTCCCTTAATGTCAGAGACCAAGTTTCACACCCATACAGAACCACAGGCAAAATTAT